GCTCAGCAGCATCAGCTCCTCCTGGTGGCGGCAGATCTCCCACTCCATCATGGGGGTCTTCTGGCGGCAGATGGGGCAGCGGACCCGGCCGATGTCGGCTTCGCTGGCGGCCTCCATGATGGCGCGCAGGCACTGGGCGCAGAGCGCGTGGCTGCAGTTCAGCAGGGCGAGCGGGTGGCGCCCCTGGTCGTACCGCTCAGTACAGATCGGGCACTCCGCGTCGTCCTCGCCCCCGTCGTCCTCCGCCTGGAGGCAGCAGGATGGCACAGTGACCTCCGGCTTCTCGCTGCCCGAGGCCCGATCCTCTTCCTCCTCCCTCTCCTCCTCCTCCTCCTGCAGCAAGCAAACATAGTCCCTCTGCCCCTCGTCCTTCTTCACTGGAAGCTCTTCTGTCCCCCAGACCCCTTCGCGCTGACCAGTGGGCATGAATCCCTCCACGCCCTCTTTGCAGCCTTCGGGAAGAAGGCGCTCTGCTTCAATGCTAGAGGCGTCGGGACCCCAACCGGCCTCCCCCGTGTCCTCTTCCTCCCCCTGCGTGGCACAACCCCACTCGGGGTCCTTGGCCGTGCTCGCTGGGGGTCCAGGTCCATCTTCCACCCAGACATCTCCTCGGTGCGGGAGGGACAAGGCCGGGACGGTCCCTGCTCGATCCACCCCCTCGGCACCGCTGTCTGTCTTTTCCCCAACCTCCAGCGATGGAGCTTCGCCGCCGGAGGGCTCCGCCGTCAGCCCCGCGTCCTGCCCGGAGGGGCTAGAAGGAAAGGCATCTCCAAAATTTCCCACAGCTCTCTTCTCTGGCTGAGGGCCAGGGGCTGCCATGAGGGGCACTTCTGGAACTCTAAAGAGGGCTGCCCGTCCTCAAGGCAACAGCGGGCACTTCTCCAGGCCTCCGGTCTCTTTGGCTGCCGCTCACGGCCAGGGAAGCGCACGTCACACGACGACGCAGCCCCATCTTGCCCAGTTTAGGAATCCAGCCAACAACAGCTGGCGTGTGAAAACGTGGCTCCGAGGGCCGCCCGCCCGCCCACGGCCTCTGCGCGCTCACCCTGGCGTTCCGAGCTTGTTCTTGGGGCGCCGGCAGTGCCAGGCGGTGCTCCGGAGTGGCTGCCCCTTTCTCCTCCACGCTGTCGGTTCTCCAGCTGTCTCTCTCCTCTGCTCCCAGTCCAGGCCGGGCAAGCCACCAAATACGAAGGCCAGCCACCGAGGAGGAAAACTCCGCCTGCCCGTCAGGGTTGGCCTGTCAACAAGGAAGCCTCTTGGCAAATCAAAGCAGGTGCTTGGCTGGGGCCAGGGCAGCTGCCAATCAGAGGGCAGGGGTGGGGCTGGCTCGGCAGGTAAGGCCTCCCAGGTGGGCCTCCCCCTCCTGACTCCCCGCAGGTCAACCCGTTTTGCAAAAGAGCCTTTGCGCCAGGCGGCACCGCCTCCTGCCTCCACACGCCCATCGCTGCCATTAAAAAAAAGAAAATGACACAGAGGCCCCCCAAGTCAGGTACGATCAGGTTTTAAAGCCCATCGCGAAGGAGAAACTGCCTGTGGAACTCCAGGCGGAGGACGATGGGGGCGTGGAAGTATTTCAACCTCACCCTGTTGCAACCAGGAGCAAATAACACATTCGGCCATTTGACTCCAAAGCCCAGCTTCCCCCCCACTGTCAGGGCTTCCATCCTCAACCAGGGAGAGAACGGCACACATCTGGATGGAGGGGGAAGGCAGGTATGGCCTTAAGCCAGGTGGGTTTCCGCCCTAAACACTGAGGCGCGTATTCTTGGCAGCCACAGGCTTCCCTTGCTGTCTGATTGCAAACGTGCCCATCGTGGAAAGTTCGGACCAACAGGGAGCGCGGCGAAGCCACAAAGCCTATGTCACTCAGAGCATTTATGGGGTCTCCTCTTTTTTTAAATATACAGTAGTTTTAAACAGTGGGCCTTGCCTTCTCAAGGCAGGAAAGGGGGTACCTCCCCATGCCACAGTCACCTGGGGCGGGCAGTCCATTTCGAGAGCTGTCAGCCAAACGTCTTCCCCGCTTCCCCCGGCTCTGTTGGGTTCACGAATCACGGACCCACAGATCCCAGCTTGAGGATCCAGGCTGCTCAGGCCTTTCTTTATTGGTACCGTACCCTGGGCTGGGCTACAGCCGTTCTGCCCTGGCCAGAAGAGCCTTCCTGCTCCGCCCTCCGTGGCTCGGCGCGGCTCAAGACCACGTCTCGGCCTGGAAGCGGCCGTCCCGTTCTAAGCGGGCCAGATACTGCTCGGCTTCCAGGGCAGACAAGCCTCCCTGGGATTGGAAGACCATCTTCAGGGCGTCTGCCACCGCTTCCGGCATCTGCTTGGCGTTCCTGGAAGAGACGAGGGGGGGGATTTCTTGGTCACCAGGTGGGAAAACCAGGGCGGCATCCCCTGCTCAACAGCTGGAACAGCCTCTGATAGCCATAAGAAGATTCGTTTGCGGAGGAAGGAAAGGGGTTGGGGGCAAAGCAACGTCCACCAGCCCGAGAGGCAGCTGGAAACCTCTAAGAGGGAGGCTGTCTGGGACTGCAAAGTGAGATCCAAAATCTAAGCGGGATGCTGTGCTGTAGGCGAGAGCCAGGGCAGAGCTGGGGCCACCAGCAGACTTTGGAGAAGCTTCTTTCTGGATTCCAACTCCCGGACGACCCACCGCCCAGAGAGTCTGGAGCCTCTTTAGGCCAAAAACAGTTAGGGATTTTGGACCAGGATGAGAAGAGTCACGGGTTCCAAGCCCTGCTCCTCTGCACATCTCGGAGGAGGCCCTTGGGGAAGGCCCCCCACCCCAAATCTCTGCCTCTCTCTCTCTCACACACAGCATAGCATCCACCATTCAGGACAGGAGGATCAGAGGGGGGGAGAACCAGAACCACTCTCTGGAGCGTTGCGGAGAAGAGGGAGGGAAAAGATCACAATGAAGCTACAGGTGCCGAGTCTAGAATCACAAATATCGTTGGAAACACTGAAAATTGTGCCTGTCTGTCGAACGGAGAGGACACGGGAAGCCAGGGGGAAAGAGTTCTTTCCTCCGCTCACCTCCCTGCAATGGTAGAAATGACTGCAAAAAGCAGGGGAGAGCAAAGCCAAAGGGTTAGTTAGTGAACGTCCTGGCATCACCCTGAACAGGCCGTCCGAGCTCTGTTTTGCACCAAGACTTGGCCTGCGCCCGTGCAGGCGTGACTTCATATTCCAGGAATGTGGAGGAACTGGTCTGTACCGGCTGGGAAGGTTTCCTCCGGTGAGGATCGAGGATCCAGGGCGCCCCGTGACAGCAGAGGTGCCTGGCTGGGGGATGAACTGGCCTCACCTGTTGAGTCGGCCGCCCGGGAGGGTCACCGGCTGGTGGGGAAGATGGCGGCTATGCTTCCCCACCCGCTGTGCTCTGGCTTAGCTCAGCCCTCCTTCCTAGGCCTCGCCTTCAGATCTGGCCGGGGACTGCAGGGAGAGAGGCTTGCCCCAAGGAAGCCCCCGGCCTCAAGTCTCAGAGAATCCGAAGCCGGAGCCCAAGACCCCTTTTATGGTGGGCACGTGGGGAAGAGGCAGGAGGCGAAGAAGGTGGGTCCCCCTGCTCTGTGCGGCTCCCTCTGGTTAGTCCACAGAGAGGAGGGGAAGCAGAGGGATCCGAGGACGCGAGAGGGTCCGTGTCCGTCGGCGCTCCTTGGCACTCACCCGGCAAGGTAGATGGAGGCCCCCGAGCGGGACACCAGGTCAAACACAAGCTCCTTCCTCTCCCGGAGCCGGTGCTGGACGTAAACCTTCTCCTCCTGTGGGGGGGGGGGCGACACCACAGAGAAGGGGTCAGGCAGTCTTGTGGGGGTGGGTGCGTGGTGACACTGAGCCGGGGAGGGTGAGGGATGGGGTGGTTGGTACAGTTCATGCCAAGGAGAGAACTTGGCCGGATTTCCACCCTCTGGCCCCTGCTCGCCCTCCAGACCACCCTGCCTCGGAAGATGGAGGTGTCCATTCAAGGGTCAGTGGCCGGGACCAGATCTTGGTGGGGAGGTTCTGCCTTAATATCTCTGATCTGTCCATTTATCTAATCGACCCCTCCTCTCTAGGGTCACGACAGACTCTGCCCTTCACATGGGCTTTAGACCCACAGAAGTCCTTTTATGGTCATTTTTGGTCATCCATCCTTTTATGCCTCCCCTCACACACACCCCAGGACCCCCACCGCTGTGCCACTCAGAAACATTCCCCCCCCCCTAACTAAAACAGAACAATCCCCAAATGTTTGAGCTGCTCCCGGGGTTTTCCCAGGCCCCTCTGCCGACAACACGCACACGTGTGTGTGAATTCACGCCACGCAAAGCCGCCTTTATTTCCTGGACCTCTGACAACTAAGAGGTGGTTCGAGCCTCGGCTGGGAAGAGACAGGAATGTGGAACATGCGCAGGCAGGCGAAGGGCACATGTTGACATGTCTCTCGAGCAGCGGAAGCGGGCCTGAGTCAAAGGCTGGGCCTCTAATTGCCCTGTTCCTGCTTCTCTCCCTCTGACGGGGCGCTTCCGGGACGTTTGGTCAGAGCTGAGCTATCTGCCCAGGACAAACGAACGCCGTTGGGCCGGAAGGCCGTTCCACGGGGACATGGGGCCGCTGGGAGAGGAGGAAGAGGGGGAGAAAGAGGAACGCAGGACTACTGGCCAGGGAGGACGGACGGATTCGTGTGTGTGCACACACACAGACAGAGATAATCTTAGTCTCAGGCCAACAACATATATATGTTCACCTTTCCCTCTGTTGGGCAGGGTTGGAGGCTTCTCCTTCTGCAGCAGGAAATCCTAACCGCACCGAATCACCTTTCCGAGGTCAGGCTTTCGGTACCAGGCTCAGGCTGCGCCAAGTAAGCAGAGGGAGCCTTTCCGAGCAAGCTTGAGAAGCCCGGGGCATGAAGGAGAAACAGGGCACTCTGCTTGAGATGCCCGCCCCACCTGCAGCCCCTGCTCTTTGGTGGCAGGTGAGGCTTCCACGGCCACGTACAAGCGGGAGGGGGGCAGGCAAGGAAGAACCAAACAGTCCCAGCGTGTCGTGGCACCTCAAGAGACCTGCTGGTTTCCTCTGGCAGAAGCTTTTGTGGGCAAGAGGTGCCTCCCTTCAAAGCAGGAGCCTCTGGTCCCCGGAAGCCTTTTGCCAAAGAAAACCTGCAGCCCTTTAAGGCACCACCGGGCTCTTGGTTCTTTTCTGATCACGCGAACCACGACGGGGAAGGGCTCTCCGACTGGCAACCCAGCTCACAGCCCTTTGGTGGCACAGGGGAGAGAGAAAAGGGAGAGGGGGGCCACCTCCGTTTCAGGTCAGCAGGCAGCGGAAAGCCTCTGGGGTTGGTTTAAAAAACTGCAGGACCTTGGAAGTCTGCCCTGGCCCCAATCCTGCTCCCCACCCCCTGGCACCTGCCACATGTTCTGCTCTGGCTCTTGCAAAGGATCTCAGGGATCCTGAGGGGGGGGGAACGGAGACACCCTACTGTCCTGGATTCAAATGCCCCCTCCCCTGCAAAACGTCACAGCTGGAGCTGACCTGATCCCGGGAGAAGGCCACAAAGAGGTGCAGGAGCCCCCTTTCCATCAGCGCCTCCCATTCCGCCTGGCAGTAAAAATCTTTCTCTTTCTGCCGACATCCAAAGAAGAGGTAATTCCCTGCAAGGAAAAGAACGAAGAGGGAAGTCGGGGCGTAGAAGAAGGAGCAGGAAGATCCGTCAACTAAAGCTTCAGCTCCTTCTCTGCCGGGGCTGCGGAAATGAAAGACGACGGCCGTGTCCAGACTCCTCAGCTCTTTCTATGAATGACTCCCGG